CAGCGCACTGCGCTCCGCGCTGCTCCAGCATTCCCGAGTGGAAGCTCGGATTCGAAGCAATTGGCACGCGTGCTGCGCGCGCGTAGGCACACCAGCCAGCAGAAACGCAAAGGGATTGTACCAGGCAGGATCAACCCACTCTGGCTTTTGTTCGATGATCGGCCCGAGCGCAAAGAAGGCCAATCCCAGCAAAAGACCGGGCAAACGGGACAAGATGGACGGGCTCAAAAGGAGGGAGGGCAGCAGAGTGCAAAGAGCGAGAAAGAGCAAGGTCCTAAACGTCGCGGCTGGAGAACGCCAATAGGCAAAGTTGACCAGCCGTTCGTGCAGATCCGACAGCCCGTTCACGACCTTTTTCAGGTCCTGAGCGTTCGAAGCTATAGCGTGATCCAGCGACCCCGCTTCGGCTCCGGCTTCCGTAATCTGGACAAGCTTTGTCTGTCTTCGAGTCTCGACGCTGGTAGATGCATGGGGTGGAGAGAGGCCACGCAGCCTCAGCGTGAGGAGGGTGAGTGTGGCAAGGCTAGCAATAAGAAGCACTCCCTGTTGCCAGCACACGATGTAGGCTGCTGCACAAGTGCCGCTACGGATGTAGCTGTCCCACCTCCACAAGGAACGAAGCGTGTTGAACGTGCTTTGATAGACCGGCAACGCGGTCGTGTACAGGCGCTCACACTCGGCTTTAAGCGAATCGGCGGAAGCGACGGTGGAATGCTCCTGTGCGCGCTTGACGACGCTGGCAGACCGAGGTGCCCGAATACTGAGCATCCTTGGTGGAGATAGGAAGGAGCAGAGGGCAGTGATGTACGCAATTGCAAGACCAGCATAATCGATTTGGCCTGTCGAGGAATCCCGCCATTCTTCCAGCGTGGGCAGATGCATCAGGTCGCTAGACAGCTCAGGAAGTCCGTCCGCTCTGACCTCGATGATGTCCTTTCCAAATTTACTCAAAAAGTAGTCGACGTCCAGATCGTCTGAGCTTGCAGGTGAGATCGAGGGCACGTCATCATCCGAGGTGTTCACATTGACCTGCAGCGCGGTTGGTGGGACTTGCCGCGACTCGTCGCCAAGACCATCACCGGCAGGAGCAACTTCATCCTCAAGATCTTCGACATCCGACTCGGATGACACAAAGTCCGACACAGGCTCTGCACTGCGTTTCCTGCCCAGCAACGCGCCCGTGGAGCGTCTACCACGTTGTTTTGCATTTCCATTTTTGGTCTTGTTAGCAGGCGCCGAAACTTGGTCGGAAGGCTCCGCGGTGATGGTGGGGGTGCGAGACAATGTGGGCGTTCGGCGTGGCGTGCGAGCGCTATCGTCGATCGTATCGACGCTGCGAGCATCGTCATCGTCATCCTGATCCTCTCGGCTCGCCCTTGGCGGCCTGTCTGACATCTGAGTCAACAATCCAAGGTGTCGATCCAGAGCGTGATGGTCAATGGTGTGCGCATCATCCTCATCATCATCATCGTCGTCGTCATCCCGCCTGCTGTCGTCATCGTTGCTCGCTATCGAAGCCCAGTCGCTGGCGTCATCCTCCAACGCGACTACTCCCCTGGCATCACCGACGCTCCGAGCGCCCCGCAAGGGTTCACGGCTCTGGTCTAGAAGCGAGACTTGCTGTGGACTGATGATGGTGTGCTTGTGCGAATCAAAGACTGGATCGAGCAAAGACTCCGCGTCCCCATCGCGATGATGAGCAGCATTGCCCTGGAAATTGACGTGACCCTCGAAGTCGTTGTCGCTACGTTGAGGCTCGATGTGCAGCTCAAAGTCTCGCAGTGAAGGCACGCCGCTGCTTTCACTAGCCCAAGAATCTCCATCCACTTCTGCATCGTCGTCGTATTGAGAAGCTATGGTCGCGGGCGTCGCACCTCGCGCTTGCAGCAGAGCTTCGCGCCTGCTTGGAGATTGCTGCACCACAGAGGAAAGCGAAGCCAGGGGTGTGATGACGCCAGATTTAGGTGAATCTGGAGATGCGGGAGAGAGGAGTGCTGCCTTGCTCTCTGTTGCCACTGCGCGGTGTTCACCTTTCGCGAAGCTGCCGTCACTGTGCTTACTCCCAGTCATCTGCACGCTGTGCAATTCGCTGGTGTTGTCCGAAAAGATGGAATTGCCATCTCGTGACGAAGACCCTTCTCCGCTGGTGTAGTCCAGCGAGGTCTGCCTGTGGCTCAACGAGCTGTCCGTCGATTCCTCGGAATAGCGGACAGGCATGGGAGCGATGTCGCTGTAATGTCTCGACTCGGAGTCTGGCTGCTGAATGGGCCATGGTGCTGCCAGGCCTGCGCTCTGATGGCCGGATCCTGCGACTTGCGAGGCATCGCTAGCGCCAAGCGCCTGACGGTGAGTGGGGTCATCATAAGAGATGCCCCTCTCATTGCTGCTTGCAGACCCTGCATCTCCCTGCACCATCTCGACATCGGAAGCGGGCCGATGTCCGTCGCTGCTGCCCGAGCGTTGACTGATGGGTCTCGACCGGAAAGCTTTTCTGAGCAAGCCGACGCCCTTGCCCTCCTTTTGAGCCTTTTTTGCTGCTTCCAGAGCGAGACCGTACTCTTCCAAGAATGACCGCCGCTGCGCGTCATCCAGATTCTCGAGCTGAGGGGCCACATCTAGAGGAGCCGTGGGTCTGTCTGGCAGCTTGAGCTCCTCTTCCTCGTCAAGACCCCGACCCTCGCCTGCGCCTGAAGCCGAGCTCGCGTCAGATGCCTCGCGCCTTTGACCTTTGGCCTGCTTTCTCCTGCTCGATTTGCTGCCATAGTCGATTTCTCGTTGTATGCCGACGTCCGAGTCGGAAATCAGGCTTGCCGGCCGAGGTCTGCTGCTGCTCGACGTCGCAGCCGAGACGGTGCGAGACCGTTCGAGCAGAGGGGAAGGGGACAAGACGGCTGTCGGGCCATCCGTAATCGATCCTGACCTGGCTTTGCCGACAATCGCAGCATTATTTGCGCTTGGCGTCCTTTTCGCTCCAGGAAAAGCCTTGGAGGTGACTGGACTAGAGGGTCTGAGGCTGCCAGAGCGAGCAACCTTTTTGCCGTCGCTGCGATTCGATAGCGGATTGTCCACCTCGATGCCCGGAGAGACGACATGCAAATTGTTCCACGGATCGTACTCGATGTAACTGGCCGGTCTGCCAGACAGCGCTCCCATAGCGCTATTGGCGATCAGACTTGCGGCTGATGATTTTTTGCGAGAGGCGCCAGACTCTCTAAAGCTGCTGCTTGGAGACATGATTTGGGACACAGGAGGACTGGTGGGAAGCGCAGATACGAAACGAGGAGCGCCTTGAGGAGCCTGACTATGATTTGGTGATGGCAGGGTGATGGATGGACTGCCTGAGCTGCCCACGCTGCCACTGCTAGAATCGCCCATGATCGAGGGAGCCTCTTGGGCAAAACTGACGGAAAGGCGGCGCGAGTTGCGGGAGCGGACCGTCGCGACACCATCGTTCGGACCGTTGCTGCTGCTCCCACCCTCCGTTGAACCCTCCACCGAGCGCTGGGCGTCCAAATGACGACGTTCGCCATCCCGCTCTCGATCTACCTGCGTCGCATCGTCATAGAGCTCCATAGCCATGGCGATGCGGGAAAAAAAAGCTCGAGGGAAGAGATGGTACGCTGCGCTGAAGAAGGGTATCGCACTGTAGAAAGTGTCAGCGCTGGACGCGACTCGATGACAGGTGGAAGAGGCATTGGAAGAGGTGCGAGTGCTGCACCTCACACACCCCGGATTCGATTCTTGTGCTCGACTCATCACAGAACTCATCGGCCACCCACCACCTCAAGAAGCTTCGCATTCACAAGTCGAGTCGGCCGCCGAGGTTTGCTCCGCATGCACTGACCTGCAAAGGTTCGCATAGCGTGTAGGTACCTACCTACAGCTTCCCATGGTACCGCACCACTGACAGCACAAGCAGAAGCATGTCCCAGCAGCAGCTCTGTATCCCCACGGCTGCGCGAAATCACGAATCGTGCGAGGCCAGGCGACGGTGCAGAGCAGCCCGCGTGTGAACAGCCACGAGTGGAGTCCGCTCCTGCCGCACTTGGACAGACAGGTGAATAGACCCGCAGCTGCCGGCTTTGTCGAATCACACTGCTCGCATCGTGAGTGTGACTGCAGCCATTTGGCCAGTCATTGCTTGGCTTGCTCAACAGCGAGTGGAAAGGCGACCGCGCTACTGCTCGGGCGGCAATTTGCACTCCGGCCCCCCCCGCCGTTTTGAAATTTGTGGGGGCGGAGGTGGGTGAAGGAGCAGCAGAAGCTACAGCAGCAGAAGCTACAGCAGCAGAGGCGTTTGAGCCAGAGCGGGACTTTTGGCCAGCAGCAAACAGTCACCGCACGCACGCACGCACGCACGCAAGCACGCCCGCAGCATGCGGGGAACAAAAACAGAAAAAATCACGAATCACCAATGTGAAAGTGAATCAAGGCAGTCTTCTCGGGACGCGATCAAAACGTGAGCGTCCCGCTCATGGTCACGGTCACGGCGGAGGCTCTGGTAGGCTGAACCGGCACGCTAGGTGGATTGCCACTGAACCGAGCGTGCTTGCCAAGCACTCATGTACGGGCACGCACGCCTTCCTGGCGAGAAGCGCTAAGAACGACTGTTGAGCTGAGAGAGGACCAGGTCGCCTCGGCACACCGTACTGCCGCAACCTTGATCACATGTGACTATTGATTTGTTTGTTGCACGAGCAGGCTTAGCACAGAGTACTCACGTTGGACGATCATTATCATTGCAATCCAAAAGGGCGACGTGGCGCTGGTGAAGCCGCAGACTACGGGTGCCCATTGCTCGGAAGCAAAGCTCTACCATAGCGCGCCGCTTGACTACTCGTCCAAGTGGCAAGAAGCTCTGATTGCAGCTCAAGACGTAGTGATCTCGACAAGCAGCCCGCGCGCGCCTTTTTGTGTGCATGCATATCATCTGCGCTTCAAGTCCAGCGAAGATGCCTAGGTCCCACTTTCCCTTTTAATGATCCAACCTAATCGTCTATCTACTTGTAGGGTGGTCCAAGAATATTTCTCCACTGCTCCAATACGACCTGCGCGTTAGTTAGGAAGGAGCGTGAGCCGACATGGCAGTTCAGGAATGGAAAATGCGAGCACCGCCCTGAACTCAAACTCACCTCGACAACCAGCAGTAGCACACCACCTCCGGGTGCCAATCGCAGCACCTTTGGTGTGAAGCCTTTGTAGAGGGCCGAGAAGCCTTCTTCTCTGGCGACTAGAGCCATGGAAGGAAAGGTCCAATTGTACTTGCGAGGAACACCGGGAACGTTGGGTGTATTCTCTGCTCAGAGCAAGGCCGGCGGGCATGTCAGTAATCTGCCAGAGGAAGACTCCGGCACATGCGGACAGACTCACGAATTCGGCTCTTTACCACATCAGCAGGAGTGTTGAGTGCAGTTCCAACAAATCCACCAATAGCACCGGAGATGAAATTGTTCCGCAATTCTTGTGCTTTGTTCTCTGCTGGGGGCATCATCGCTCTCGTGGACTGTATCACTCCAAAGTAACCGCCATTCCACAGCACATGCCTCCAAAAGGTGGATTCGAGACCAGCATAGAGACCCAGCAGACCGTCTGCTTTGACGATCTTGCCAACTACGTCCATGGGTCCGGTGTAGAGATGCGATTGCGCCTTGTCCCTGATTTGAGGACCAGGAGCAGTGCATGAGGGGCTGGCTGATCACTTGAATCGGAGCATTCGGTAAGCTCGCACTCACTGCAATCTGATCTTGACCAGCTCAAAGGGCACGACGACGACACTTTCCGTAGCTCCGGCAGCACACCCAGTCAACGTAGCGATACCCCGACTAGACTTTTCCTGTCCCGCGATGCCTCTGAACGTCTTGCCCCAGTAGTCGTTGGCGCTGAGCGAGCAACGAGCAAAAGGGAAAAAGCAAGAGGAAGCAATGCATCAGTCAGGTCAGAGCTAGCTGCTTGTCAAAGAGCTGCGGACTTACGCGAACTTGACTGCTCGCTTGGGAGCTTCGAGCATGAGAGGAGGCACGAGGCCACGGTAAAGGCGTCCCGCACTGTTTCAAGATGAAAGATTGGGTCACATTCAGGATCTGATCTGCGAAATAATCAGCATGCCTGTGACATTGCACCGCTCCCTGGAGCGACGGGCAGCGTATGCCATGCGTTGCCCAAGCATCCACCTCTACCGCTGCGTTTCGACGACGAGCTGCGATGCCGCTTCTAGTCGCGTGGTTCAGCTTGCCTGCACTTTTGCCCACTCACCCTTCGCTAGCAATGATCTTTCTGAAAGCATCCATCATGCCATTGTACCTGTCCGCAGCTGGCGTACTGGAGTTCTGAAGCTGAATGCGCGTCTTGACGACATCTGCATGAAGGGGGAGGTGCGGGGAGGACATTGCGTTAGGCCTCGATGCTGCCCAGCAAGGGGGAGGATCGCGCTGAGTGAGGGGAGTTGGTTACAAGACGATACGCACCGAGAGGATAGAGACACAGCAGCTCCGTCACTCCTGCGATGGCACCCGCAGAGAATTGGGCATAGAATGGGAGCGCTGCGGGTAGGGCGTGACGGCAAGAGGCACAGAGGCGGTCAGCAAGATTGCAAAGTAGATGCGGACACAGACGTGGGCTGCTCGAGCAAGCAGCAAACAAGCAGCGCGCTGTTTGTTATCGCCCATGGTCACCGCATCGAGTCCCTCTCTGTATGCTCGTGGAGTGCGCCTCTTTCAGCGTGCTGCGCATACACGCCTGATTGAGAGGCAGCATCGCTGATCATTGGCTGCCCTGAGACCAAGCACCCGCACAAAGATCTCCTTCACATTGCACCCTCCATCGCAATACATGCATCTGCAGCCAAAGCGATCCTGCCTACGCACGCTTTGGCTTGGAGCCGGCCGGGGCTGTAGGCGCGGACATGTCGATCCAGTCGTGAGCGGGTTGCGCAGTGTCCAGTCGTGCTTGTGTAGTGCTTGTATGCGACTTCAGGATTGGCTTGGCGGCGAATCAGAGCGGTAGGTGTGGGAGATGGGGGTCAAGACGGAATGTTGATCGTGCCAAGCCCAAAGAGGGTGCGAGGTGTGAGCGCGGGGGATGGATGATAAGATTCGATGTGTTGCGATTTGCGAATCAAAATTCACTCACTCTTGAATCTAATTACGCGCTCTTATCCAAGCTTTACACTCGTGACTGCAGTTTGAAATCACGAAGCGTGAATGCGAATCGAGCCGACATGCAGCAACGCGCGCAGCTTCCTTTCTTCTCGTTTTCGAGGTCGCGGTCGCGGTCGCGGTCGCGGATGTGGAGGACGCGGCGTGCGCACCTCGGAGTCGTTCGGGGTATCTTACCCTTTTTTGTGACTGCGGCCTGGATGAGAGAGGGGATGCGCGGGTCGTGGCAGAGTGGCTGGTAGTCTGAGTCATCGTCACAGTCACGAGTCATGAGTCACGAGTGCCGAGAGGCGAGGGTGGAGTGTCGCGGAAAGAGGGACTTTGAGCATAGCTAGGCAACTCGATGGAACACAACGTGCACCACACTCACAACTGCATGGGCACAACGCGGGCAAGGTCGGTGTAGCTGCTTAGCTACAGCCATCACACCACCACCATGCGCAACACCTGTCGCCGTGCGCCAACCCCGAACCCAGGAAGAAGCAACTCGGCATGCATGCACCCAAATGCATACAGACAGGGCAGCGCGGTGAGGGGAGGGGAGGGATGGAGCACTCCAGCACCACCTTGGCCGCCACGTACCACAAAGCTCGGGTGTGGTGATCCAGTCACGAGTGGTGGCGCAATACACTTCACATCACACTCGCGGTCCAAGACTCGTGACTACTCTTGACTGATGATGTTCCCATGCGTGACCATTCAAGCCACACCCTTGACTGCAAGCCTGCGACCTTGGCAAGCCAGGCTTGAATTTCTCCGGCAGAGGGCAGCAGCAGCAGCAGCAGCAGCGGCTGCTGCTGCAAAGAGTCACGAGTCACGATGAGTCAAGAGTGGGCCATACAGCGTCCTCACTCAAGACTACTCTGACTCGCATGCGCAAGGCTCCGATCGGACGTCAAGAGACCGTCGCTGCTAATGGCGAGGCGAGCGAGAACATAAGCTGTTGGCACAGGTGATCGGCGCACAGCTTGCTTCACTATGTCCGCGTAGAGGTGGTAGAGAATCTGAATCGAATCAAAATTCGTCGCAGGGCACACCACCCGGTACAACGTTGTGCCGATCGAGGAGGAAAGCGGCGGGTCGACCTCTCACGTGATCTTCACTTCTGCGCCAGACGAGGCAACTCAAGAATCAAAATCACGAATCAAGCCACATTTTTGGCCCGTGGCTCGATCGTGACTCTTTGCAATGCGCTAGCTGCGCTAGGAAAACGGCGGTCGTTGATTGGGCCGCCCGACCGCCGCTTTGATCGCGTACGTTGAGCGGTCGTTGTTGCGCCGCGCGCATGGGTTGAGGGCTTTGTGTTTCATTTGATTCATGAGTGTTGGAGTCTTGAGTCTTGAGTGGATGTAAGAACCGATTGGTCTCATCACACAGTAAGTTGTCTGCTTTGGATTTGGATTTGGATTTGGATTTGGATTTTGAATCACAATTTGAATGATATACCATCGTGATGGCCTCGCTCGGGCATGGATGCTGCAATTCTTGATTCGTGATTGAATCAAGAATATAGATGGGCGTCCTTCATGAACTGGAATTTGTCTGATTCGCACGATGGGGGACGTGCACCGCGCTTTTCTTCGTTACTCGCGACTCACCTGGAGCTGTACGGTAATTAGATGAAGCAAGCAAGCAAGCATACCCAGTCACGAGTTACCCACTGCATGTCCCGCGTGCGGGTCTCACTCAAGACTCAAGACTCAGCCTCGCCATGGCCATGCATGCATGCATCCACTCAACGCGAGTCCAACGTCAGCACCAACCATCAGCGCCGTCAGCACCACCAGTACCACCATCACCACCATCACAGGCTTGCTTGACTCACGATCACATTCAAATTCAGCCTCAAACACGACCAAATCGCTCCTCGATCTGAGACTTGACCGTCGCATCTCGCTCCACATCGACTTTCCTCGCCATCGCAGCAGCGTCAACACACATCAGCACCGCTCCTTATCGTCTCTGGCTGCCTGCCTGCATCTGCATACATACAGTCCTGCATCCCGGCCAAGAGCACGTGCAGATCGTGCCTGCCAAAGCCGCGTTTCGCTTCATCGACCCGCAATCAGGCAATCGCGACCCTGCTGCCCCTCCCTCTCGTACTCGCGCGCTCAGGAAGATCAGCAGCAGCATTCACGCTAACGATAACCGTCAAAAGCGGATTCGTAAGAAGCGCTTCTAAGGTCCGCCACTACTACATCTGGCCATTCCTCACTTTTGGACGTCTGGTCTTCGAATCTTTTTGCCCCCAAGAAGGCAGGTTACGGCACGTCAACATCTTTGCGGAGCCTCACTTCTCAATCGCAGACTTCGAATCGCTCGCCCCCGCTATTCTGACGATGTCCTCCTCCACACCAAGCTCATCCGGTCGCTCATCGCCTGCGCCACGCTCCGATGCCTCTTCGGCTACCAGCGCAGGAGCAGTGCCTATTCCAGGCAACAGCAAATCTGGCTCATCGCAACAACAGCAGCAGCAGCAGCAGCAGCAAGGTGGCTCGCCCTTCGAATCAGGAGCATTCGGACAGCGAAGAGGCTCGGCGCCCGCTTCGGCATTCTTGGCACCTCGTTTTTGGAACGCTGCGACAAGCACTGGTGGAGCGCCAGGTGGAATCATGAGCTACGCGCATGGGGCGTATGGTACGAGTCCTAATTCATCCGGTCATCATCATCATCACCACCACCATCACCAACAAGCACCAGGCGCGACCTTCGATGTGAATGGTGTACCACGAAGGACGAGTTTCGGACACAGTCTGACGGGTGGTAGGCTGAGCGCCCTGGCTGCGCTAGGCATGGCCCCTATGCAAAGCCCACCGATACAGTCATCTGGACTGCCTCCAGCGACCAGCAAACCTCGTGGCACAGCCGCTTCGCCTGAACGAAAGATGAGCAGCAGCAGCAGCAGCGCGACGGAAGTGTTGCCGCCGCTAAGTGCCAGCTCCACGCCCATCTCTTCGCCCGCGCTCAAATCTACAAAGAGCACGACGGACGTGCCTACGGCGAATGCTGCCAATAGGAGAAAAGATCGCGTCTTTTTCTTGCCTGGTCCGGATGGCTTGTGCGTAGAGAGCAGACGCAGAAGGCCTAGCGAGGCTTAGCAGCTTGCGAGCGCCCAAATAGTCTTTTGGGTTGGTCTATATATGACGCCTTTGACGATGCTCAGGAACATCGACGACGACTTGGCACCCGAGTGCTCATGATCAAAGGCGGCCGAGCGAGGCTCGCATTACCGTCCTCATCCTTCCTAGGAACACGACTCCTCTTTGCTGCTCTCTACCGCTTTCCAGCGCAGGGGTAAGGAGGATGGCACGGCGCAGGATGCCACAGCCCGTGTCCAGTCCAACCAACGCTCCCTCTATCCATTAGCGCCTTTCCCTTTTGTTCCCCTACTCACGACCAGCTCTGTACCCCTCATTCGCGCTCTCTTTGCATCACACACAATGTCACCTTGTTTTCTCTCTGTCTCGCGTAGCGTGAGCGCATCTGATTGACATGAGGTGTCCATCAATCGTGAATGTGCTCAGTCGTGACTTGTCGCCGATGGCTTGCATCAGACTCGATACTTCCCTGTCGCGGCTGGTCGGATTTCCCGTTCCGACCATGTGGAAGGCCTAGCTCGCACCCGCGGCCCTGGAGTCCGCGTGCGGCGAATATTTACCATCACCCACGCCCAAGAAAGAGCCTTTGCTGGTCAAGAAAGATGAGGAAGGAGCTCGATATGCAAACCCAACGGTGCCCTCCCCACCGCGCCCACCACGCAGCAGTCTAGAAGTGGCATGCTGCTGGGCAAGCGCGCGCCGCATTTGCTCTCTTGTCTGACTGTACTCTTGTCATTGCGTTTCTCGAGGGCACGCGGCCAGCAGCACCACCAGCACCAGCAGCAGCAGCACATACGCTACGCAGCAATTAACCAGCCATCATCACCGAGTCGCGATACGACGACGAGTCTCACCGACCGCTTAGCAGCGCGCGCGCAGTGGCAGCGCGATGATGTCACCTCATGCGGGGAAAGGCGCTGTTGTGCGCATATGGGCAGCACGCCAGCACGGCATGCATGCATGCATACATGCTGGCCCCAGCAGCAGCTCACGTAGAGGACTCGCTGAACAGCGGCAGCCATGCGCACAGCAGCAGGACGGCACTATATGAGCTCGACTCGACGTTGGTGCGTGTGTGCAGTGTGCTCTATTGTAGTGCTCGAATCTTGCGTTAATGGGGACGCTCGCACTCGCACTCGCACTCGCACTCGCACTCGCACTTACGGCTGGGGTGTGCAGATCTAGACTTCAACGGCATGTGCATGCATAAGCTGTAGGGGTGCTGATGGAGTGGAGAGGAGATCAGCAGTCATGATCGAGCCTGAGTGACTTTCTTCTACACAAGCCACATGAGCTGTGCCCTTTTGCGTGCTTAGCTTAGGACGCCGGCCAGGAGAGCGATCGAGCAACCGCGCCAATCTTGCTGCTCATGCCGTGCCGTGCCAGCAGCCAGCTATATGCATGCAAGCACACCTCCCCCATCGTGAATCAAGAATCGTGAGATGCCGTACTCACCTCACGACTTGATCGCCTGCGGAGTCCGGTCGCGCGAAATCGTGCAGGTTGAATGCATGCTGCATGCACTCACACTCTGACTCACTGCATGACCAAGCGCGCGCGCTTGCCAGGGGATCGAGGGAGAAGTCAAGCAAGCATCAAAGCCCGCGGTGCGCGTATGCGTCATACCTATTCATCACGCAGGCGCGGGCGCAGTTCGGATTCGCGCCGTGGATGGAGCTGCTGCTGCTGAGTCTGATGGTACGAGTCGTGAATGCATGCTTAGGAGGATGATGGACACGCTGTCGCTGTCGCTGTCGCGGCCTCGGCGCTTGGCCAGGCCAGGCCAGCCTGGCCTGGCTGCGATGGCTGACGTGAATAACTAGACCTGAGCGTTGACAACGTCGCTCGCGCAAGCCTGGTTCGCACATTCTTCCCTCCTCTACCATTCCCCCCAACCCGAGACAGCCTTTGTGCATCGTCCCAAGGCATCCATACATCCATTCACATCACATCGCGCACCACCTCGCAACCCTTCAATGTCGCAATACGACGCTCACAGTATCGGTCGCGCAAGCAGCGTGAGCCGCAAGAGCAGCATCGCTAGCCGCAATGCCAGCTTGATCAAGAAGAACACGGGCCCCACCGAGCTGCGCCCATCCGACATTCTCATCGAGCGTTTCAATGGTGAGTGAGGCGGCGAGGAACGTACGCTCCGTCTGGATGGTTGCTGCACCCCTCTCGCGTGCGGATGCGCCATCCTGAAGGCAGGGGGGTTGGATGTATGCGCCACCGATGACGCGCACACTCTGCCATGCGATGCTGACGTGACTCGGCCGCTCACCCTTGTACCAGGTTGGAAGCACATTACCAAGCAGCTCATCAGCTACTTTGAGGGCATCGCAGACATTGAGTACAACACCGCCAAGGAGCTCACCAAGCTGGGCGGCGTGATCCAAGTGCCTTTCAGAGAGGGAAGCCAATTCTTGGGCGAGGACGGCATTCAAGACGTTTACTACAGCATCCGCGACAAGACCCGCGTCATTGCCGATCACCATGCCAATTTGGCAAAGACTGTCGAGGGAAGCATCGTTCAGCACCTGCAAAAGCTCAGGTCCGAGATCAAGGCTCACGTCAAGAATGTCCAGCAAGATACTGGCAAGCTGGCCAACAGCGTTGCCAAGGAGCGCGAAATGAGCACAAAGATGATTAGCGATCTGGCTAGAAGCATCACCCTGCTCAAAAACACGCCCATGAGCGTCACGGCAAAGGAGGATCCTTACAGCGCCAATAACAACGTCTTTCGTCAGCTCCAAAAGCAAGTCGCAGAGGAGAATGCTCTGCAAAAGAGCATCATCATCATGCAACAGAACAGCGCTCACTTCGAGGAGGGCATCGTCCGCTCCATCCAGAGCGCGTGGCAGACCTTTGACGAATGGAGCGGCCGCATGTCCGCGCAGGTGCAAGACACTTGGCTCGGATTGGGCGTTCAGATGAGAGGTCTGCAACCCAATGCCGAGTGGATCGCCTTTGCTGCTCGATCCGACCACCTGCTCGACCCAGACACGCCTTTGAGAAACCCAGAGACGATCGACTATCCCGGCAAGGAGGACCCATCGGTCATTCCTGTTCACCAAGGCATTCTCGAGCGCAAGAAGCGATTCACCAAGTCTTACAAGGAGTCCTTCTACGTCCTCACTCCTGCCGGCTACCTGCACGAGCACGGCAGCTCCGACGCGACCACCCACCCAAACCCTGAACTCAGCTTGTTCCTGCCGAACTGCACTCTTGGCCCAATTCGCGGCACAAAGTTCCACATTGAAGCCGCTGCAAAGACCATGCCTGGTCTGTCCAAGCTTCCCCTCTCGCGCGAGCATTCGTACACCTTCCGCGCTCGTTCGGAGGATGAGACGCACGAGGTGAGCTGTGCGAGGCTTCGACACCGCACATGCATCTCGCTGACGTAGCAATGATTTTTTTTTTTACCTCGCATTCGCAGTGGTGGAACGACATCAAGCAGCTGTCCAAGGTCTACCTCACCTCTTCCGCGGTCATGGACCGCACCGGCCCCGTTCCAGCAGCCGTGCGCGCTGCAGGCTACCGCTCCGAGCCCGAGGAGGAGGAGGAGGATGACGAGGAGGGAAGCAGTGTGGAGGAGGACGAAGACGAGTACGAGGAGGCTCAAGATCAAGCCGCCGCCAATGCTCAGCACAACGCTGCCCCCGCTGCCACCTCCAGCGGTGCGCCTGCTGCTACTGCCACAAGTGGAGGCGCTGCTGAAGAGACACCTGCTTATTCTGGCGCTGGAGCAGAAAAGGCCGGTGTAGAGATTGGCCCCAACGGTAAGTTGTCGTCGCGGTCCATGCTGCACACGTTTCGACCATGCTGATCACCAGAGTTACAACTTTTAGGCTATGCCGTCGAGAAGAAGGGCGAGCCTGCTGCGACTGCTGGACCAAGTGCGGGTGAGTTGCGAGGTCGTCAAAAGAAGTCATCTGCGATGCTCTCTCACGTACTCTCCACGTCTCCTGTACAGCCTAAGTCTTTGCATATCGCTGATCGGTGCGCGCGGTCAGCGCCCGCTCGCAGGTGACACCCGCTTGTCACCACGTGGAATCCTCCGCCAGCGCGGCCAAGTTTCACCTTCATCATGTCCATAATTGTGTCTCTAGTTCACGACTCAAGACTGTGTCCACTTTCTCTGTGCTCTTGACACCTTCCTTGCGGCGGATAATGAATTTGCATTTTGCTCTCAAGAGGGATGCGGTGCTACATGCTGGTGATTCTGAATAGCAGAAAAGTCGCTGGCGACGTGTGGTCGATGCTACTTGCGCGAAAAGGAGGCATCGCGACCTTCAGCATACGCTTGGTGCCGCTGATAGGCCTCCACGTCCGCAGCAGGCACGTTTGGCGCTTCTTGGGTACCCCAACCGCCCCAAGGCACGCCGTCAGATCGTTGATAACGTGCAGGAGCCCATCCTGCAGCGCTGCGAGCAGCCAGAGAGTAGTCGATGGATGCGCCGGCGGTGTGTCCCGAATTGTCAATGCTGTTGTCACCGTGCTCAGAGACAGGACGTGCCATGCTTGCAAGAGCACTGGCATAGTTTTCATCTAAACCTTCTCGCACGACGTAGCTAGCGCCGCCTAGCCATCGATGGACGCGAGCCTCGTCCAGCTCATCCAACCGAGCTCGTCCAGCTTCTGGCCGCGAAGACTCGCTATTCTCGAAAGACTCGCTAGCGTCCACGTTGTTCGCCGCCGCGATGCAAGCGGACTCGTCGTCCAACACGCTCACATCACCATCGCCATCCAGTGCGAGCACAGCCCAGCCCACGATCATCATGCCCGGCGGGCGCTGCTCTCCCGTCCTTTCCAGCGCCTCCACAATGCCTGCTAGCGTGGATGCGACGAGCCTTTGATCAGTAGAAGATGCGCGCTCGACGATTGCGATCGGAGTGTGCGGTGGATATGCGGCCCCCTGTCTGGAGCCGGTGGCTGAGCCGCAAGTCAAATTCGCGTGCGTAGTGTTGATCGTCTCGCTCTGCCGTGCGGGTGTCCATCCTTCTGTCAGGGTGTGGACGACGTCTTTGAGCCTTGCAACGCCCATCAGAATGACGGTGCTTCTGTTGCGCTCGTAACCGGGCAGTTTGACCTGCTTGCCCCCTCGTCCGACTCCTGTGCACAATACCATGGAGTCCGCTGCTCCCCTTTGAGTGACTGGTACGCCGAGAAGCAACGGAGCTGCCATGGCGGAGCTGATACCAGGCACCACGGTGGCTTCTATGCCTGCGCGCCGAAATGCCAGCACCTCTTCCCCTCCGCGACCATAGACAAAGGGATCGCCTTGCTTCAGGCGGACGACAGTCTTGCCTTCTTCGATGGCCCCTTTAAGAGCCAACGCGATGAGCTCCGATTGAGCGCCTTCAGCGTTGCCAGGGAATTTACGCGCAATGACGAGGGGAGTAGTGGAAGGGATGAGACGGAGGATGGGTGCGGGCACCAGCTTGTCCGAGAGAATCAGGTGCGTCGACGGCGATGTGAGCAAGTCGTGAGCCATCATCGTGAGCAAGCCGGGATGACCGGGACCAGATCCGACGAGATGTATGCGACCTTGGCGGGAACGAGGCGCTCGCGGCATTCCAAGCTCGAGAGCATGTTGAGATGTGTCACGACGAAGCAGTCCCAGCGCAGAGACGTCTGCAGAGTTGCGGCGCGAAGCGGGCCTTCCGCGTGGAGTATCTGTGCCATTCGTAGCAGCAGGCGCCCTGCCTTCGAGGGACGATCTCGCAGTGGTGGTGGCGGAGGGCGAGGAGGAGGAGGCGGACGCAGCATCGCCTGCAGCATCGCCTGATTTCTCTGGATTGTCTTCGTACGTGTCCAAAATCTGGGCCATCTGATCATCTTGCAGACGCGCCAAGTACTCGATGGGCCAGTACTCGCTCATTTGCGCTACCCAGCGCATTCTTCGCTTCGCGGATTCTTTGCGAGCCTCCATCTCTGTTCTCCGGTCATCATCCTCCGCGTCGACCGCGGTTGCGATGTGCAAAGCACCAGCATGAGAAGCGCTGCGCACTGCTCTCGCAAAGTAGCTCTTGGAGTCGTGCATCGCATGGCTCGACTTGCCTGCTGGCGCTCCAAGCTGAGGTACGGGACTGTTGAGAGGGGTGCTGTCCAGCGCAGCGTCCTCCTCATCCCTCTCCTCTGGCCTGCTACGGCTCCTGCTGCGGCTTGCACGACGCTGCGCAGCGGCGCTGACGCTTGCCCGCCGCAAGTCTTCCCTCTTGGCCACTTCGCGCATCCTGCCCACCTTGTCCACCGCATCGCCTACATTTCTAGGCAGGGCGCCTACGATCTCGCGACGGATTCTGCCTGCTAAACGACAACCTCTGCCATTGGTGGTCACCGCGATTTGCAGGCTGGAAGAGGGGGCAGGAGAGGTGCTCGTCGCGCTGGTGCTAGCGCCAGAGACGGTACTCGGGACGAAAGAGCGAGCGAAGCGGTGCGTTGCCGGAAAGCTAAAGTCGCAGAGCGCTGGCTGATCAGCGACATTGATGGGAATGCGCCGCATCCTGCACAGCCTGACGAGCAGCTTTGCACGGGTCATGCTCCTCTGAGCTGGACTGATCTCCATCGCGCTGCTCCCTTGCCGGGGCACGTTGTCGTCCGCAGCAAGGTGAAGCGTGTCGGTGACGCAGACCGCAAAGATGGATTTGCACGCGCTGGACTGCGCTTCTCCCCCAGCATCATCGATGTGGTCTATCAGACTTGACCACCCTTGCTCGTCATCTTTGCTCGGCGCTTCGCTCCACAGCGCCGAGCCATTCTCTACGCGGTGCACCACTTCTGGCGCAGCTCGATGCAAGGAGGAGGGTGGCAAAGCGCCGTGTGCGGGGCGAGTATCGTCGTCGATTCCATCCAGACCTACGATCAGAGGCGTGGCGCCAGCCTCGAGGCAAGCAAAGGCTCTGGATGCTGCCAAACGCGAAGAGCCGATGATCACCACAACCTTTCCCACGGGTCGGTGGGAGAGCAGTAACGAGGCGCTGGGATTGGGGGCAGGAAAGATATTTGTGGTGCTGGTGCTGGTGCTTGTGCTGGAGGGCTGCGCTTGAGCAGGCGCATACATGCTGGTTTGCTGTGGCATGTAAGAGGCAGGGCAGCGCAGCGCAGAGCAAGATGAAGGTGTGGTGCCAAAAGGGGAGGAAGCAAAAGCAAGCCGGATATGGAGCGACGACGGTCGTGAGTCATGAATGAGTGTGAGTGCAGGTCAGTCAGGTGAGGACAAGCGAGAAGACGCGAAGAGGAAAAGGTCGCTTGGCGCTCCATCCATCACATGCGCGCATGCATGCGTGCGTGCGTGCACGCGAGTCGCGAATTTCGTCTTGGCGCGCGCGCGCGCGCACACGTACGGCCGATGCTTACAAACTGCCCTCCGCGCTAATCTGTGCCCAATCAAACGAGCCGCCGACACAGCCGCGCGCGGTATAGAAACGAAACGCATGCATGGCCTATCACCGCGCACGCAGCAGGCCGGCTTCCACATCCAAGATTCTTCATTCAAAAACGATTCACATTCACATTCACATTCACCTTGACGATTGCCATTACCCACGCCCACAATGACCAACGCCGCACCACGGCGTCCGCGCGCACCACGTCTTCACACCCAGGTGCTCGAGGGTTGAATGGTGGACATTCGTGATTGCACAACGCATCTACATCGCATCGCTCTGAGCGGTGAGTCGAATGGGGACTATGCTCGCAGCTGCAACATTACAGCATCCCTAAGACGTCGCTCTAGGCATCACCAAGTCGATGCACGACTTTACCGCTGGGCGTGTGACCAGCGTACATGCTCAGCAGCGCTTCTTTCGCCCCCGCCAAGCCCTGCTCACCCGTCTTGCCATCCAGCGGCCACGTCTTGGCTGGCAAGACGATGATCTTGCCGCTCGAGAGCAGACGATGCAGATGGCCTTGGTCGTACGAAGCCCATCGTTCTGCCAAGCGACGATCGCTGGCAAAGACGTCTGCACTCGGGTACTCGTCACCCAGCATGGCTAGCAGTGGAACCGGTCTTCCCAGCAAGGCGTGAATCAGCGCAAATGTCTGTCGCACATCGCCGCGTCCATGCCCGGACGGCAGGCTCGGCAGCAACTTGTGTACTTGCCGCTCTCCCTTCTGATCGGCTGCAAAGCAGCGCAAGCACGCGTCCACCGTCTCTGGCGAAGCGTGGCAATCCAACGCTTTTTCTAGGTGTGGCCACTGCGCGCGTATCTGTTGCACGGTCGAAGCTTCATCCTCTCTGCCAAATGCGTACGTCGCGCCCAGACGTCGGAGAGAGTCGAGCGACTTGCTGCCCGCAATAGCGATGCTCTGGTAGCCTGCCACGCGAAGGATCTGGATGGCGTACTGTCCGCACGCAGTTCCCGCGCCCCACACCAGAATGGGCGACTGCTCCGCACGAGCATGTTCCTCACCGAGACGTTCGAGGTCGAGCTGAAGCCCTGCTTGGCTTCCCAGTGCGTGCAGAGCCGTGAAAAAGGAAAATGAAAATGCCGCGAGCTGGTCCAGCGGCAAGTGGTCTGGCGGTTTGACGGTCAATGCAGCATCGCAGACCGTGTACTCTGCGAATGTGCCTGTAGTCGTCGTATCTCCCGGCACCCAGCCGCACACTCTCGATCCGATTGCAGCGCCAGGCAAAGCCGCGTTGCTCTCCACGATTGTTCCTGCAAAGTCGCTGCCGAGGACATGATCTCTGCTGCGGTAATCTTTGGACTGCTCGGGGACAAGCGCGTACGCATCTGGCGGATTCTGCGCAGCGAACTCGATTGCGACTCGCAACTGACCAGGCCCCGGCTTTGGCGTTAAAAGGTCATTGCGCACGTCGATTTTGCCGGCCTCCTCGGCAATGGTCAGGCCTCGCATCGTGTGGTCAGACATGCTGCGGAGCTTCGTCAAGCCGAGTATTGGTCGCGCGCGGAAAGTGGCAGCGGAGGGTATCAATGGTGCTGGAAGGACGTGACGCAGCATGAATGGATGTCAAGATGAGCAATGAAGAGGAGTGGGAGCTAGGAGAAAGCGTTCACCACCTGCTCAGCGTTCCAGTCAGGCGGAATGCACGCACGCACGCACGCACGCACGCACGCACGCACGCACGGAAACACGCACGCAAACACGGTTCCGCCGGCGAGCGGAACTTTTGACATGCGTGCATGAAACGTGCTGCTGCTGCGCGTGACCGAGTGCGCGCGCGCGTCGGCCTGCAAGGGAGGCAGGCAGGCACCGCATCCGATCGGATGACTGCATGGCTGCCTAGCGCTTGTGTGTATCCTCGGAGTGCAGATCAGCCGCGCATTTACATCTCTTCTGTGCAGCACACACTGCTGGCTTCACTTCTTCTGAAACGACGCTCAGAGCGGTAGTAGTAGCATCTGCAAAGTGGTAATCGTGCTTTTGGGAGAGCGCGACTGGCTGGTCTGGATCGGGCGCGAAAAGTGGCAGGGGAGTCTTTGAGGGGTTAGTCACTCGAAGAATATGACGCAGGCATGGCGAGCAATGAAGAGAAGTGGGAGCTAGAGCTAGAGCTAGAGCTAGAAGCGAATCGAAAAGCCGTTCACTACCTACTCACTGTGCGCAGCTTTGCGTCTAGGGCCGCGGCATGGAGAACATCTGTGTGCGCGCTCGCAGCGCGACCATGCCTGATAGGTGTGTTGTGCGGTACAGACAGAGTGGAGTGGAGGCACGCAGCACGTGAGTACTGTATGACTGTCAAAGTTGATGCCCCCGTCGAGCTCCAAACCAGGCCAGCGGCATCCCCGCTCTAAATGCCAAACGGAACAAACACCAGCGGGATCGTCGTTCGCTTGCTCGCATTGCCGAGGTTTGAGACTCGGCTTCGAGATGTCGAGGGTCCAGAGCAATCACCGCCTCGGAGTGAGTGAAAGCACAGAAAAGTTACAAGGAGAAGCTCGACTTCTGGGCACACCGCTTCATTGTGCTCTCAAAGTCCTGGCTTTTGCGCTGACCACGAGGTCGCGCGGGCCAACGTTGGTTCGAAACGCATTAATGGCGGCGGGCTAACGATTGAGGGCGGGGGCGTACCGCTGGCGAATTTGGGCCTGAGCTGGGCTGCATTCACGATTGCCCAGCCAAGCCAAGCCCAGTTCAGTCCATGCAGCGCAGCCCGCGCCTGATTCTGATTCTGTACCACACGCAAAGTTGCGAGATGGACTCGTAGCCTGACAGTCGCAGTTTGCACCAAGAGCGCCTGATCGGAACCGGACTTTTTTGGGGGGGAGGGCAAAGCCAAGTTGGGCGTAATTCGCCGCCCGCAGATTTGTGCATGAACAGCAATGTGGTTTGCCGGTCCCAGCAGGCTAGCGCCGCGCGCATTCAAGATTGCCTGTCTCGATCGAAAGTAAGTGCAAGGAAGTGCATTCTTGGTCTTCACAACGATCAAGCACAACGATCAAGCACAACGACCAAGCCCAACAGAGTGACGGCGCTTGCCTTTAGAAGAAACCTCGAGATTTGGCAATGCCACGCCATGCTGACCGTAAACGCCCAGGCATGAGCGCGGTCACCCATTGTCAATGCTCGCAAACGCACGCCTAAACCACTTGCTTTGGCGCCCCTTTTGCGAGCAGACTTCTTGCCCTTGCGAGTGTGGTCTATGAAGCTCTGCATATTCACGTTCGCCAAATTATTGGCTTCTAGTTTTTCATTTCAGTCGAGGCTTTGCGCAATGTTCGCGCAGTGTGAAAGCGCCTCTGGAAATGCGGGTCCTGTACAGTGGTGCGTTGTCAAGAACGCCAGCGAGGCTCGTACTTCTCCTTGCGTGTCAACAAACGTTGGCCCGCGCGACCTCGTGGTCCTCTCATTCTGCGTCAACCAGTGCAAGTCAGGGTTCAACAATGCCTGCAACCAGTGTGCCGGTGTGTCGAGCCACTATACCTGTTCTCTCACTGACTCTCGGTGATCTTAGCGTTGCTCCGCCTCTGATCCCTTTTGTGCTTGTCTCGGAACCAAATTTCCGCAACGCGAGCGAGCGACCCCGTTGTTTTCTCGCGCAAAATTTGGGCTTGCAACAGACTGCAGGGCGAAAGCAAGGCGAGGGGTATTACAGCGCGCTTTGCCGTACCCTGCAACGCCAATACAGCAGGCGCAAGCGAGTGATCCAACAGAACGACTTGCTGCCGCACGATTACACTTTGTTGTGAAATTCAACATGCTGCAGAGGCTTTAGCTGCTCCGCACCAACAGCGGTGCCATCCTCGTCGGCATAAATGGAAATGTGGGGCTAGTCAGTCTCCGTGTGTCTTTTGCCTGCAACCTTGAATGCATCCATCTCCAGATGCTTTGCCTCAGCCAGCAGACCCTTGTCAATCGATCACGACTCCATGCCTGCCACCTTGTGCTTGAGCCTTCTCTAGCTGGATGCTCTAGCCGCAACGGAATGCAACCTCCACTTGACCTGAAGTACTTGTCCGACCCCCACGACTGCGATAAGCCTCGCGACCGGGCAAGCTGACACTCATCTTACCATTTCGACGCCTGAAGCCAAAATGATGCGGCCCCATCGGACCAATGACGCCCACCGGCGATTAGCGGAATGCGGGTCCGAGGTGCGGTCGCCCTCGCTTCTAACAGATACTGTTTGCCTCTGTCCGCTGGTCTCGCACGGATTACTAGGCAAAATGTCAACGAGGTGGACAACCGAGACCTGCGCTTCATCACCCAGTGCAACTGTCAAGCGCGGTGTGCTGTTGGATTGGGCCGCGCTTCGTGGGGTCTTCTGACCGGCTTCCGTCACAGCTTGATCCCAATTTTTGGTTGCCGAAAGTTTGTGGTCTGATAGTCAAAGGGTCGCACCCTGATTTCCTTGCCGACAATTGCTGCATCTGACCAGACTTGTTTGCCCCTCGCCTTGCCAAATTTCGAAAGCTAAGCATCCTCTTTTTACGGCCGACTCGCCCTTGGCAATTAATGCAAGCGCGACCTCGAGGTCGCTCGGCAATTTTGAGCAAGGCGCTTGGCACGACATTTCGGGTCGTCTGATGCTAGCCACCGCAAAGAGACGTGCCAGAAATATTCCACAAGCTGTGATCTTGCTCCCCTCCGGCAACGTCACCCCTTATTCGTGAGCCTCCCGAGTTGGTTGGTCGAGAAACATATAAGAAGGAAGAATGCGCTGCCCTCAATCTTTCAACTTCTTACGTCCTCGATAAGCATACGCTCAGTGCCAAACATTTCACTTCACCAAGCTCTAAGCGACCCATCCCAAAATGCACTACCTCCGTCTCCTGGCCCATGCTCTGCCTCTTGTTGGGGCGGCCTCAGCTGCTTGCACAAGCGGCGGTCCTGCCTGCAGTGCCGATGGAGATTGCGCTCAATTCTTCCCGGCCAACACGCCTGCACCAAGCAACCCGGCTGACTGTCAAGCAGCCATCGACATGATTGGAAGTCGTGGCGAGAATGGTCACACCAAGTGAGCGCGGGGCTTTGCAAGTCTTGCCTTGCCACGAACGATCACGGCTGACAATTTTATGGTAACTTCATCTCGCAGCTACTGTTGGAACAAGGGCTCGTGCACGCTAACCATGCAAATGGCCGACGGTGTGGACATCAACCAGGCGAAGGCGGACTTTAACAAGCTACTGAGCACATGCAACAAGGGCTTGGGTGGTTATGCCACCACTAACGGTGGTGCTGTGAGTACATTCCGGCCCTCGGTAGAATCACAGCCCGCGCCATACAGCACAGCAGGCTGACAAGGTGGAACGTACTGTTGAACCAGCTGCTCTACATTGAGGCCAACCCCGGCCCTGACGGAACGCTCAAGTACCCTCGTTGCCAAATCATCGATTTCTAATAAGATTTCTCTCCAGCGCGGTGCTCAAAAGAGTTGACAGCTTGTGTGCCTCGAGGGACACAACACGCTTCTCCGCATCGACCACAACGACTTTGTCCACAAACAACAACGCAATTCAACATTTGCACTCCTCCAGGAGCTCGCGTGACTCGGGGCAAGATGTGTGATTGCTTCACGCATGAGCAGCTTGCTGATGGTGATGATATTCGTGAAGAGAGTCTAACTGCATGTGAGCGGTTCTTGATGTGCATGCGCGCGCGCGTACGCACGTGACAGATTCATCGAGCAGAGAGCTTTTCGAAAAGGCAAGCGAGACTTTCGTGTTGTGTTTATAGTTGCTCCTCCCACATGTGTTTGTGCGCTGAGTCTGGCCTTATTTAAAAGTTGGTGTTTGGTTTTGTCGAGCCATAAGAGCTGAGACTTTTAAGCTCTAAGCTAAGCTTGTCACACGAGATGATGGAGGTCACAAAGCATGCTGATTTGGCGGATGGATGCATGTGCGGATATTTACATATACGCTAGGTCGCGTGACAAAGCTAAGGAGGGCGTGCCGAAGCATGTCGCGCGTTTTACGGCTGCAGAAGGCCGTGAGCGTTGTTTCACCCTGCTTCATCACTTTCCATTCGCGTCCTAATCGAGGTATTGCCCGCGTAAACCTAGCCTACGGTCGCTTCTCGGGTCATGCGGCTGTGCAAAGCCATCATGGCCATCTAGAGAGAGATGAACAATTTCGCGGGCAATGCTCTGTAGCTGCAAACGCCATGTATCCCTCTTTGTTGAGCTTGTGTGCGCGAAGGAATGTCCACGGTCTCTCCATGAGGGGCCAGACGTCGGCTTCCAGATAGCACTGGGCGGGGGCAAATATGGACGTGTTCAGTCGACATTTTGGTTCAGCGCTCTGCCTCTTCAATCAACCGGGGCCTGGTATTCGGACTGCTTGCAGAAGCGCAGAGCCAGGACGGGGGGCAGCGGCCATTGCGAGGCGTCTCTGACAACATCTGCGCTGAATTTTACGTTCCGCTCAGTGTGACTTTGTCCGTTCTGGCCGCCTTCAAACAAACCTCGACTGGGGCCCAAACATCAAGAGGAGCAGCCTACTGGTATAAGTCGAGGATTTTACGCTGTAAACTAGACCGCAGCGCGTCCGGACATCTGCGGACCTTGATCAGATGCACCACTCGAGCGTCTGCCATGACTCGCGGCTTTGATGATGCTGCATGCGTGGCCAGTTAGGGTCCGCTGCGTAGCAGCGTGCGGCTCTGCCGCCGTTAGGGTTAGGGTTAGGCCCGCGCAGCGCGCGGCAGAGTATATTTGATCAAGCGCGCCATCAAGCGCGCCATCAAGCGCGCCATCACATCAGCCAGCGCACTGTGCCAAGACTCACAACCATCGACCATACCTTTACCAACAAATCTCTCGCATCCATCAGCAGCCCATGCTATCAGCCAGCGCCTGCACTTGGCCCCAACAATCTCAACAACACCCGTGGATGCGCTCACTTGCTGCTCCCTGTGCTGCTATGCAATTGCAGTCATGAATTGCGCGTCTCTGCACCATTTGTTTCATCCTGCTGCAACCCCTGGTGAGCAAGGCGGGGCGTCATGTCGTGTCGAGATTGTGATCGTGCTCGAAGTTGACGCACAGCTTGCGCCCAGAGGCTGCAGATCGAACAGCAGGAACAATGGATGACAGCTACCTATAAACAAGGGAAGGAGGAAGGAAGCAAGCAGGGCGTGTGCGCATGCACTTGCGCCCACAGAATGCAAAACAGCAGGATCGGAGCTGGATAGGTGCAACGAGCAGCAGAGCAGCCGCAATGAATGTAAAACAGTAGGATCAGATGCTGAAAGGATGAGAGCTGGATTGGTGCGACGAGCAGCAGGGCAGGGCAATGAGGGCTGTATTGGTGCGTTGATCAGCAGGGCAGGGCGGCAGCAGCGATGAGAGCTGGATAGACGCAGACAGAGCTTAGGGGTTACAAGGGGGTCCCCAATAGGGTTTTTGGAGTTTGTGTTATAGGCATTTAGAGGGGCCTGAGGGAAGCCAGCTGGTGAAGCAGCGCCCAAAACCCTACAGGTTTGACGGCGTGAGGTCCATCTAACCTGAAGATGGGCTGGTTAGAGTGCCTAACTTGGGCATCTTTGAGAAAAGTGTTTGTTCTGTGTTACAGTGACCAACATGAGGCTATGGCATGAGACTTTCTGGAATTGGATTGCACAAAAGTCTTTCAGGGATGGCACAAAGTGCTTCTAAGTTCAGCTTGGTAGCTTAAGTTCAGTCATCTTCAGCATACTTGACATAAGTTGAGGATCAAGTTGAGGGAAGATGACCTGATGTTGGCTCATGTTGCCTGAACTTGGCACAACTTCTACGGGGTGCTGAGGAGTAAAGGGGGGACCCTTTGGATTGAGGACAGATGTCAAAAAGTGTGGTTAGGAGTGCATCTTCAAGGAAGTTCAGCTCAAGAAGGAGGAAGATGAATCAAGATGAGGGAAGATGATCTGATATTGGCTGATGTTATTTTAGGGTTAGGGTTAGGGTTAGGGTTAGGGTTAGATAGGTGTTCCCGACAGGGTTAGGAAAAATTGGTCCATAAATCTTGCAGGTCTTTGCAGTTTTGGATAGCCCTTGAGAAGCGCTTTAAGGTACTATATGGTGTCCTTTTGATTGGACATCACGTCAGCAAGATATAACGCTTTGAAATTTTTGTTGGCTGGGGAACTCAGCATAGTTGGCTTAACCCTGGAGCAGATTATTCAATAGGCTTGTAGAGCGCCTCAAATAACCTCTAAATGCAGAAGCTCAGATCTCAAAGCCTCTTGGTCTTGTCTGTGGAAGGCAAAACGTCTAACCCTACCGTAAATCTAGGGCTAAACCCTACTTTGTAGACCCTACCAATCTAGAGTTTGGCTGGGCGTCGAGGTAGGGTTAGACCCTAACCCTACTTTCCCCGATGGTCAGACCCTAGATTTACAGTAGGGTTAGACCCTAACCCTACTTTCCGCCGACCCTAGACCCTACTTGGGGTTGACTCTAGATTTACAGTAGTGTCAGGATTTTGACCCTAGATGAAGTAGGGTTAACTCTAGATGGTGCATGTGCGCAAGTAGGGTCTAAGCCACGGTGGTGGTGAGCCCTAGATGCGCAGAGTGCGCAAGTAGGGTCAACTCTAGAAGGTGCAGGGTGAAAAGTAGGGTCGGGGCGCCGGTGGTGGTGGACTCTAAATGTGTTTTGTGCGCAAGTAGGGTCTGAGCACCAGCGGTGGTGAGCCCTAGATCTTGCAGGGTGACAAGTAGGGTCAACTCTAGATGGTACCTGTGCACAAGTAGGGTCTGGGCGCCGGTGGTGGTGAGCCCTAGATGGTGCAGGGTGACAAGTAGGGTCAACTCTAGATGGTGCAGGGTGACAAGTAGGGTCAACTCTAGATGAACAGAGTGCGCAAGTAGGGTCAACTCTAGATGGTGCAGGGTGACAAGTAGGGTCAACTCTAGATGAACAGAGTGCGCAAGTAGGGTCAACTCTAGGTTGAATAG